GCTTTACGCATGCACTCGAGCCTGCTAGTCCACCTGTTCTGCAGGCTATTCTTTTCATTGGATTTATAGTCAAGAGAAAAAGTTACAAATGAAACAAATTTTAGTAAATGATGCATTTTGCAAGCTTAAGATGTGTAGCCTGGGTTGGTGGAGTTTAGAACAACACACGTATTACATTTCTAAATTAAGGCTAAGGGCACCCACAAAAACTTTAATCTGCCATTTGCTTTTGTTTGAATAGTTACTTACTTTTATGTATATAGTTTCATCACAAACTTGGAAGTTAGCTCCACATTAATGTGAAATTTTCCTTAGGGAGTGAAAGAGTAAATGAAATTTAACAAGAAAGGATAATTAGAATATATATGGGTTGTTGATCGAGCAAGTTTAATTGGCCAAAGGATTTATTATATGGAAAAAGAACACTATTTTCTTGTGAGACCTAGCGGGTTATCCCGAACAGGCAATATAGCGCCATCTGGCCTACTCTGCAGGTAGTCAGTCACAGTGCACTGGATTCGGTTAACCTTGCCCACTCACAGAGCTAGCTGTTTCATTATCACAGTTATTCAATGTGTAACATTTCTTTCAGATCCAAGGTGAAAATACAGTCATGGCAAATGTACAAAGTGGTGTGGCGACTGCAAATGCCAATGTACGTTACCGTGGAATGATTGGGTCCATGATAACTGTTGCAAAAACTGATGGCTTTCGTTCCCTGTACAAAGGACTTGTGCCAGGAATTCACCGACAACTATGCTTTGCTAGTATTAGGATAGGACTCTATGATTCAGTAAAAAAATTCTATGGTGATGACGACGTCAACAATCCAAAAGTCATAAAGAAGATTCTTGCCAGTTGTACGACAGGAGTCTTTGCTGTATCGCTTGCTCAACCAACGGAAGTAGCTAAAGTGAGGTTTCAAGCCAGTGCCTCAAGATTTGGATCCGACAAGGCTTTAGATGCTTATAAGTCAATTTTTAGAAATGAAGGGATTCGTGGGTTGTGGAAAGGTGCCTTTGCAAATATGGCTCGTCTCTCTACTGTGAATGCCTCAGAGCTGGTTGTGTATGATATGGTGAAAGGGTTTTTTCTAAGAAAGCAACTTATGGAGGATGAGTTCCCTTTGCACTTTGTATCTGCCTTTGGTGCTGGTTTTGCTACCACTGTGATAGCATCACCTGTTGATGTAGTAAAGACACGCTACATGAACTCACCACCAAATACTTATAAGAGTGCTGTTCACTGTGCATACATGCTGTTGAAGCACAATGGGCCTTTTGCTTATTACAAAGGGTAAGTAATGCCAATTACTGTATGTCAATTGCCTTTCAGTTGCTACATGTATTTGAAAAAGGTCAAGTCTGCATACAAGCCAAGTGACCAGACAGGCCAGAGCTTATCCCGGTTTCAGTAGCATGAAACGATCAGGAGTATTTCAACTCCCCCTGGATGGGATGCTAGTCCAACGCAGGGTTAACCCCCAGCATTAAATTTGCCAGTACCCATTTATACACCTGGAACAGGTTGTTCAAGTCCCAATTATGCTAACCCAGGATTAGCGAGAATTTTGATTTCAGTGTTGGAACTTTTCACTGAGTTTTTCTGATTATATTGTTTGTTCTTCAGTTTTTTAGTTTGAATAATCTCAAACTACACAAAACATATGCCGGGAGAAACATTTTCATACAAGAAATATTAATACTTTGGTTAACATTTAATCCTGGGTTAGCATCAACCAGCTTTTGAACAATCCAGCCCTGGGGTGAAGAGGGGCACTATGAGAGTTAAGTGTCTTGCCTGAGAACACAATACAGTGTCCCTGGCCAGGGCTTGAAACTGGACTACTTGAACTGGAGACTAGTGCACTAACCATGAGGCCATCGTGCCCCCTGCATGTGAGAATGAGTAACAATTGATTTCTCTAGATAGGGTGTAAACTATTGGCATAATTTTCAAGATATTGAGAATACTGAGTGGAGTTAATTATTTCCACAAGTGTAAGTTTGGTTTGGAGAACAGATCAGAATACACCTCTGGTAGTGCAATTTCCAAATAGCAATGCTGAATCAATAGTGGCAGTTACATGATAGTACATGGAAAACTTTGGATGTCAGAACTGAAAAGTTCAATCTTCACATGTGAATAGGGGATCTTTGACAAGGTTAATCAGCTTTTCATTATCTAATTCACACTCATAGTAAGATCAGATACATGTATATAAATTGTTGTGTGATTCCGCACTGCAGGTTGAAAAACCATGCAAACAAGAGGTTGTTAAGCAGTTGTGTGTGTTTCATGATGTAAACATACAGATAATTTATCTGACTGGTATCTTTTTGACTTTCAGGTTTACTCCAAACTTCATAAGACTGGGATCTTGGAATATTGTCATGTTCATGTGCTTTGAACAGTTTAAGAGGTTGTTCAGTAAATTCTCTTCGGAACACTAGAAGCATAAATCTTGTTATTTTCAATAAGTTGGCTCAGAAATTTGTTTGCCACAGATCTCTCTAAGGTGTTTAGAAACTGGAATACAAAGAGACATTATTGGCCTAAATGCTTGGGCTCCTGAGAAAGAGGGGTTTATATTAGATATTTTAATATAGTACGCATTTTTATTATCTTCCACGTCACCTACTTGAAACTGTGTACATGATCTATATACATTGTATAAGTAAATACATTTTAATTATCTAGTTTTGCAATTTCAAAACATTTTGTACTCAGAAGGATATTTCTAGTCTCAATGTGCATCTGGTGGTTAGTGTTTGAATGCCATGACTTTTAAAGTGATGTTTTAAGACTATGAAAAAGTTGCACATCCACTTTGACAACTTTAAGGAAGTGTAAAAAGTAGATGTTTGCTAATTTTAAGTTAAGTATAAAGCTTGGTATTTAATTTAAAGTAATGTTAAGCACAACATTCAACTATAACTGTAAAAAGTTGCACATTCCAGTTTGGCAACATCAAAGAAGTGTATTTACAGTAGATATGTTTGCTATTTTTGCTATTGGTAATTATAAAGCTTGCTATTTGTATTTATTAAATACGCAAATGTTAAACACAATGTTAAAATCATTACCGGTAAACAACTTTAGTTTGTTTCAATTTTTTTTCTTTGTTTGTGTGAGTGAGTGTAGTAGTAATGTGTTGTAAAGTGACATGGCAGGCAGTAGAAGATCGGAAAGCTGAAAACTGGACCACAGGGTTTGTAACTGGTTGAAACCCTAATAGAGATGCAATTCACAGAATGGTGTAGGGTATGTTAGTCAGGGTGTGTGGGAATATTTTTAATGATGCTAGTTGTCAATAATTATAATTGTATTTATTTAGCAATTGTGGAGATTCAGTGTCCAGATGCAGTGCACATGCATGTGTGTGTGTGCAGTCAATGGTGTTATTGTTAAAATAATTGCTTAAGGCATTAATTTCTAGAATTCTTCAGGGTCAGTTGAAAAGGAAAACTTGTGAGAGAAAAATTCTTGGTGTTACTGTTGTGATAACTGCTGTTTAACAAGCTCCTGGACTCATGTTCACTTAACAGTCAGTATGCTACTGGGGCTGCACACCATGTTCATGGCTGTTTTGTATGTGTGTCTTGAAATTTTTTCACCCCTGAGAGGAACCAATTTTAAAACAACTCATTATCTCCTGTCATATTTTTTCATCTCAATATCCTAAAGGGTACTGCAAAAGCCCCCACTGTGGACCTTTTAAGGCTGAACATCCCAAGAGGTACCAAAACTGCTCTTTTAACCC